TTCAGCTCAAATGTCATCTTCTCCTCCAAGAGACCTTCCCTGGTTACCCTCACTAAAAATGGCCTCTCCTACTCACGATCCTATTTAATCTTCTTGATAGCTCTTATCTATACCTAAACTTTTCTTATTTATTGTTGACTTGTTTAATGGCTGTCTCCTCCTGCTAGAAGGCAAATTTCTTGAGGGCAAGGACTATTTTATTCAAGGCTGTATCCCTAGTGCTCAGAACAGTATTTGGCAATAGAAAGCACAGCATAAGTTGACTGGCTGGATCTCATCAACTCACCTGAAAAGATGGGGAAGCAAAGTTATTTATCATAATATGGTCTCCATTATTTATCATTTCAATGATAAATAATAAGTCACAAGTAACAGAAACCCAATTCAGGATGTCTTAATTGTAACAGAAAAGGCTAGGTCTGTCTTCAGGCACAGCTGGTTCCAGAGACTCAAATTATATCATCCGAATAATTGTCTTTCAATCTCTCCCTCCCTCTTCCCGCCTTAGCTCTCTTTGCCTCTGGGTTGGTTCCATTTGCAGGCAAGTCCTCTCCATGAAGTGGCTCCTGCCAGCTCTGTGCTTACATTCTACATTGTACAGCTCAGGAGCCCCAGCAGAAAGAGAACTGCCTCTTCCCAGGAGTCCCAGCAAAAATCTCAGAATTGACTTTCATTGAACCAACTTGGGTCACGTGCCTTCCCTGAACCAATCACTGTGTCTAGAGGGATGGAATATGCTAATTAGTCAAACCAAGTCACTCACGCACTCCTAGATGGGAGAGTGTGATTGGGAGTTGGCATCACCTGAGAGCCAAGGAGGAGTGGTCTCCCAAAGGAAACTGCAGTGCTATCACCAGGGGAAGAGATGCAAGCTGTGGGGGGGGAAAAGATGTCCATTACAATGGTCTTTTTGTTTCAGAGAACTGAAATTTTTGCCAGTTCCAGAAGAACCTACAATTTTAGAGCGTAAGGATGAAGAACTGTCTGATCGCCGCCATCTTACATGACAGCCTGGTGAGCTCATTCACCCACTGAACGTTTACACAGCACTGACCACAGCTTATCTCACAAGGTCTATGTGACACTTTCTATCCCGGCAGGGGTTATGCTTTGTCAGTCTCCTGTCTGTGAGCTGGTGCTGAGTTTAATTACTAAGACCTGACCTCAGAACCTTAGCGTCAATGTCCTTGACTCTTATTTCCCTGGTGTCAGGCTTCAATGGCACCTGCTCCCTGAAGCCCTCATCTCCGTAGGTCTAGAGTGTTTACCTTTGCTTTGCATCATCATTAATCTTTCTGATTTTGCCCCTCAACTCATTTTGCTGGACTGCTCCTTCCTACATGATCCCTCTGAATTTGTTTTCTGACCAGCTGGCTGAATCATTAGGCCTGTTGCTGCCCAAAATCTGCTTTCACATCAATCATTTCCCTCACCAGGTGGTTCCTTCCTTAATCTTCAGTGATGGCTGCATTCACCCTCACCAGCGTTCACTACCCCAGAAAATGAATGAGGTCATCCTATAACATACACAAAGAATACATCTAAGGTGGTCTTAAATGAGAGTCTATCCTATACTAAAATATCTCTAAGGAAGGCCAATCCCCAGTTTAAACTGGCACTGGACAATCTCTAAGGGGAAGACATCCTCCCTTTGCCTGCATTCACACAGAGGGAAGAATCGGAGATGAGCCGATCGCTACCTCTTGTGGTTACCTTTCACATACTCACAGATTGATACTCAGTAGGTCATTGGTTTCCCTTCTCCAGATTCCATTCATTTATTAAAATTACATTTTCCTAACCCTTTCAGATTGTTACTCCCCATTTGGTCCTCCGCAATTACCTGTCTTTTGCTCTGAGGCTGAGGTATAGTGATAAGAGCACTGTAGTTTTTCCTCTAAATCATAAACTTGGAAACAAAGTATTCTTCATGATGCCACTTGTCATTTCCTTTTTCTTTAACTTCAGAAAGTCACTCTGGGGCTTCCCTGGTGGTGCAGTGGTTAAGAACCCACCTGCCAATTCAGGGGGCACGGGTTCGAGGCCTGGTCCAGGAAGATTCCACATGCCGCAGAGCAACTAAGCCCATGTGCCACAACTACTGAGCCTGCTCACCTAGAGCCCGTGCTCCACAACAAGAGAAGCCACCGCAATGAGAAGCCCATGCACCGCAACAAAGAATAGCCCCCACTCGCCGCAACTAGAGAAAGCCTGCACACAGCAACAAAGACCCAATGCAACCAAAAATAAATAATAAATAAATTAATTAATTAAAAAAGAAAAGAAAGTCACTCTTGTGGTCAGGTGAATTCCTGAGCAGTGACCCTTTGGCACAAGTGTTCCTCTTCTAATTATGATGGTTGAACCCATCTCCTTACAAAGTGGAAACATACAGCTTGTTTCTGTAGAGAAGCTGCTAACCTGACCCACAAATGCAGTTTTATTCCCACCAGAATACAAAATGATCCATGATGACAGGGACTTTGTTTAGTTACTATATCTCCAGTATTTGGCATATATAGGCACTCATATGTGCTTATTCATTCACTCATTCAACAAATGCTTATTGAGCATTTACTAAAGAAGGCATTGCTCCAGGTGATACTTGGGATCGAAGGAATGAAAACAAGTATACCTGGGAGGATATTTCAGCTACAAGTAACAGAACCATTTTAAACAATTAGGTATCTATTGTTTCACGTAAGTGGAAGTCCAAATTTCGATCAACTCAGGTTTGTTGTCCCACTATTAAGGATCCAGGATTTTTCACAGTTTCATCCTAAACTTTTTTCTCCCCTCTGGAAAAGAGAGAGGGGAGGGAGAGAGAAAGACCATAGGGTGGCTGCCAGTAACAACTAAGGTAATAGCGGAAGAAAGAGTAAAGAGGAAGACCCGTCCCAAAGTCTTCAGCATTCCTCTTGCTTCTCAATGGCCAGAATTGGGTCACACACCCATTCCTGAACCATGGACTTAGCCTCAGACCGTTCAGCCCCTCACCACACAGTGAGGATGGGGTGGGCTTCCTCTGAAGTAAGGGGACTGTGTTGAGGAGGGGTGGCCCTCTGAACATACAGAGGTTCTGTTAGAAAGGAAGGGAGTTGGGTCTAAGGGCTAAAGGTGGGGCTAGGGAGCAGCCATAGCATTCACTTCAAGTCATAATTTGTAATGAAAGTCTATAGTTTTTTTTTTGAAAAAGTGCCTGTCCACATATTAGCTCATATAATCCTTACAATGATGGCAAAGTGGTAGTTCTCATTCCAGGGGTAAATCAGAATCACCTAAGTAGTGAGTCTGATTCAGAAACTCTGTTGTGAGACCCAGACATTTGTAATTCCTAAAAGCTGCACAGGTGATTCTGATGCCCAGTCAACATTGCACACCAGTGCTATAAGTAAAGCACCAGCACCCCATAGGTGTGAGAATAAGAATTCAGCACAATCTCTACCCTGGAAATCAACTAAATGCCAATTAAGACATTCTGACATATGTGCCAGAGGAGTTTAGGGGAGGAAAAGCTCCCTCTAAGCCAATAAATTGGGGAAGGTTACTGGGAGAGAGTGGGACCTCCAAAGATGAATAAGACTTGAATAGAGAACACGGGGAGCAATGTAGCCAGAAGGGCACAGCATGAGCTGGGGTGGAACAAGATGGAACGCTTGTCAAATTCATGTGTCATGTTTCTCAGAGGACAGGCTGATCTCTGGTTTGTTGCCATATTAGTACATGACAAAGGGAAGTTTTCACATTTTTAGAGTTTTCTCATCTTGAACCAGTGATTGAAGAAACTGAGGTTTGTTTCCAGAACTGGGTGAATCAGTGCTATCTGATATTCCTGATACTTTGCTGAAACTATTCACCAAGCTTCCTCTTTGAGCACAAAGGGGATTTTAAGAGGCAACGATTGGGGCTTTCATATATTTGTGTTTGAAAAATCAGAATAATTGGGTGGAAAAACCCTATGAGATCACCTTTCTGCTCTACCCAACCTGTTGTGAGGTGGGGGGGTGGTGGTGGATACACAATGATCTTCTTAGAGAAGGAGACATTTCGATCCCTTCTCAAAGCAAACTAAGATAAACCCAATAAAATCCAGCCAGGCTGCAGAAGTGATTAGGAGGAAGATTAGAAACAACCTGAAGAATATGGAGAAAGTTTGTAAGTTGACTGGTAATTGGATTACATTTAAAGATTCAACTAGTGACATATTCAGAGTAGAGTTTCTTTTATTTGTTAACTCCAGGCAAGAGGCTTGGCAGTTTACTGATAGCACAGAAGGTGAGTCATGCTGCACTGGCTCACTCAGCCAGGCTTGGACAAATATCACCCACTCACTTTGATGGATGCACCTCATGCATAGAAGTATGTGGACATATATTGATTTTTTAAAAAACGCTATCATTACTCACTGTTTGTAACAACTTATTTTCCTTCTTTTTTATACCTTTGTTGTTACTACTTCTGTTGCATCTAACTTGGATTTTAGTGAACTCTAAAGGGGTCTCCTGCATGCTAAAGGAGTTTCTCAGAAATAGGGAGTTGGCAACAGACTTGCCATATGTGTCTTGGGCTGGATGCTCTTGAGGAATATTCCTCTCCCAGGTTTCAAGAGCCTTTCCTATGTTATTATTCAATGGGTTCAGGGTGAGAACTCTGGGTAGGAGAGGTATTTACAGAATGTATTAATGTGGTAATTAGCTTCGGCAATGAAATAAACAGAATATGTGTATACTTTTCAGGTAGGTGTCATACTATAAACTTTACCAGAGAATGGTTACTGTCTGGGAGCTCCTAGAAAGAGAACAACAGGCCACAGAAGAGAGGACTGGCATAAGCCAGTGAGGGCAGAGGTAAGAGCTGGCTCACCTGGTTCCAGCCCTGCGCCCAACCACGTTGGAAGATAGAAGATGGAGCAGAAGCAAGAGCAGGAATGTGAGGGAGGGCAGCTCAGGTAGGGGCGACGCAGTAGGGGAGGCATCCCTACAGAGTTAAAGGTGACTCACCCCTGTTCAGCTGGGTGAGCCAAATCTTTCTGCAGGTTCTATCTTTCCTAGTTTGAGCTGGTCTAAGTTCAGAGAGAACCATTTCCCTAGTGTCAATGCCATAGTCTTCTCTTCGTGGTGGATCTGAAATCAAAAATGCTGATGAGCGGAAAGTGATTACAAGCAAAAGATAATGTTTTGGAGAAATTTGGAACTTGTTTTGGCAAATGAATTGCTTAAACCCATTCTAGATAGACATAAGGAGGCCTACGAAATCAAGGTTAGAAGCAAAGACCCAAGGAATATAAATGATGGGCATGAATACTATTCCACAAAAAGTGATTTAAAAAGTAAATAAGGGTAGTCAATCACGTATAACTGGGGAGAGTACAAAACCAGTTTCACTGAAAAAGACCACTCTCCTAGTTTAAGTCAGCTGGTCTACCCACGTGCTAGCGATCATACAAAGAGGTGTTCACCTAAGGAGGTGAAACACTTAGCTCAAGTTATCCTCTTGGTGGGAAAATAAGCCCCAATATGCCTCCGTACCCTCAGGTCTCCTTACCTAAGCATGTGTACAAATTTTCTCTCCTTGGGCTGATGAGAATTGGGGCTTAAAATAATGATTCTGGCAGCTGAAAGAAGAAAGAGCAGGATGACAATGTAGTAGCCTTCCAAGCTCTAAATGACAAGGGATTGAACTAAGACAGCAGCTGTGAGGGGGAAAGAGATTTGGTATAATAAATGGAGTTGGTGTCCTACTGAGGTAGAGAAGAAAGGAAAGGATGAGCCCAGAGGGACTCCAGGCTTCCCTCAGGAGAATGTGGCAGGTGACATCATTTCTTGAAAAAGGAAATACAAGAAATGAAGCAACACTGGAGAAAAGAAGATAAATTCCATTTTAGACATGTGGGTGATCAGTGGCTAATCTGGCTAATGGTCAATTGATACTTAAAAATGTTTTCTCAGTTAAAAATGTATTGGCTCTGAGTAGAGGGACTACAACTGTTTTGTGCATTATTTTATTCCAGGGCCTAGCACACAGTAGGTGCTCTGTATTTTTAAGAATCTTTTGCTCTTAGCAGTTTGAGTATTATGTATGGTTTGTTTGTTTGTTTATTTTTGTGGTACGCGGGCCTCTCACTGTTGTGGCCTCTCCCGTTGCGGAGCACAGGCTCCGGACGCACAGGCTCAGCAGCCATGGCTCACGGGCCCAGCTGCTCCGCGGCATGTGGGATCTTCCCAGACTGGGTCACGAACCCGTGTCCACTGCATCGGCAGGTGGACTCTCAACCACTGCGCCACCAGGGAAGCCCTGTTTTTTAAATTTACTTACTCTGCTTGGCATTTACTAAGCTACGTGAATCTGTAATTTCAAGTCTTTCAACAAATTTGGAAAAATTTTAACCGCTATTTTCTAAAAATTTTTTAATGAATTATTTTCTCTCTCATCTTCTTTGGGGGGTGACAATTACAACCATGTTAGAACTTTTGATATTGACACAGAGGTCATTGAGGCTCTATTAAATTTTTTCAATATTTTTTTCTCTCTTCAGTTTTTGATCACTTCTCTTGATCTATTTTCAAGTTCACTGACTCTTTCTTCTAACATTTCCAGTCACCTGTTAATCTTATTGAGTGAGTTTTTATTTCAGATACTGTATTTTTCACATCCAGAATTTTTGGTTCCTTTTTATAGTTTCTGTTCCTCTGCTGAGGTTTCCTGTCTATTCATTCATTATGAGTATATCTTTGTTTATGTCCTTGAACAGTTAAAATAGCTAGTTTAAAATAATTGTCTCCTAATCCCAACTTCTGCATCATTGATTGTCTTTTCTCTTGAACATGGTTCCACTTTTATGTTTCTTTGATTGTCTCTAATTTTAGATTGTGCTTGCACAATGTGAATGATATATTATAGAGACTATGGTTTCTGTTATGTTCCTCTCACATAACATAACATATGGCACAGACATAGAAAACAAACTTATGGTTACCAAAGGGTAAAGGGGGTGGGGGAGGGATAAATTAGGAGTTTGGGATTAGCAGATACAAACTACTATATATAAAATAGATAAACAACAAGTTCCTACTTTATAGCACAGGGAATTATATTCAATATCCTATAGTAAACCATGATGGAAAATAATATATTTATATTTATAACTGAATCACTTTGCTGTATACCAGAAATTAACACAACATTGTAAATCAAATATACTTCAATAAAAAAAATTTTAAGGCCCTCTCCCACAAAAAAAAGGTTAACTTGGTTAGACTATGTTTTTCTCCTCTGTGGTGGGCAAGGGTTGAAATTTCTATTCAGTTCTTTCATCATTAGCTGGGTTGATTGAAGTCTGCCTCACATGAGTATTGCTCAGAGATCAGCCAGAGGTTTGGGAAAACTTAATGCACAGAATTTGGAGGTTCTCTTCTGTTGTTTCCTCCTTTCTAGGATACCTCCATGACCACTAACATTTTCCAGTTGCTGTGATAGCTTCAAACTCTGTCTCCTAATTCCTCAAACCAGTTCACCAAAACTGTGGGTTTCTGTCCACATTCTAAAAGCCTCAGCATGGAGTTGACTGGAGCTTGCCCTCAGGCAGAAGAAATCATTTTTAAAAACAAACAGAAAACTCATCTAGTGCCATTCCCTCCTTCTAAGCGTCAACTCTTCTCTAGTTTCTAGTTTGGTTACTCTTTAATGTCTTTAGATAATCCCCCCCCCAGAGTTTATAATTATTATTTGCAAAAGGGTCAATCCAATATAAACTACCTGCTGTTAACAGACCTGGAATTCCAGGTGCCCAATAAATATTTGTTAAACAAATTCAAGCACCCACTTTATATTTCCATGCTGATCTCTAACAGACACCATACACTTAACCTAGCCCCAATTAAACTAAACCCTTTATTTCCTCTCTCTCTCTCTCTCTCTCTCACTCTCACCTCCAGCAAACCTGCTCCTCTCCAAGTCTACTTTATTTATTTCATATACATATGAGATACATACATATCATATACACATAATATGTATGATATGACTAAAATGACTGTCATCCACAAAGTCACCAAGGCTCTTCTACTTCTCAAAACCAGAGAGCCACTCTGCAGTTCTCACCTCACCTGTTCTTCACAATATTTGACACCTTTTTTATGGAAACTCTTCTTGTGACTTCTGTGACATTATTCTATCTTGGATTTCCTTCCTTTGGCTGCTGGGACTTTGGTCTATTTTACAGACTCTTGTTCTACCACCCAGCCTGTGAATGCTAGTGTTCCTTCCTCATCCATGTTTTCTTCTCACTCTCTTCTATTCAAGTAGCTTCAACGTTCACTTAACAAATATTTGTTGAACACCTATTCCATGCCAGGCTCTTTTCTCAGTGCTAGGTCCTTGCCCTAGCACTGCTCTTTTCTCAGACAAGGCCTTGCTCTCATGCAGCTTACATTCTAGTGAGGGGAGATATCTATCTCTGTATCGTCTATATATCTATTTATTCAACTGCTTTTGTGGCATTTCCATTTGAATGTATAATAGACCTTTCAAACTCAACATGTCCCAAACTGGAACACTCCCACCTCAGAGTCTTTGCATTTGCTGTTCCCTCTGCATGGAATGATCTACCAGATGTCCGCATGGCTCACAATTCTTACTCCCTTCAAATATCTGCCCCAAAGTCAATTTTTCAGTGAGGCTTTCCTGACTATTTGCTGTAAAATGAATACAACCTATGCCCTCCATTTGCACTACCCATCCCCTTACTCTCCTTTATTTTTCTCCATGGAACTTATCACCATGTAAATACTACAGATCTAACTTTTCAACTGTTGATGTCAGTCTCCCCTCAGTAGATAAAGCCAACTTGCTCTCCAACGTGGATAAAACAATACCCATCAATTGTGCATGAGTGGTTTTTTTTTCATTCAAAATTTAAAATTTTCTCCCATTTGATAAGTTTTTGTTGATATATCTCTGATTATTCATAAGTTTGAGTATTCTTCATATGTTTATTGGCTATTTGGTGTCATTTTGTAAATTGTTTGTTCATATCTTCTCTTCTTCCTCCTCTTCCCCATTCTTTTCACTTTTCTGTTGGGTTATTTGTCTGTTTTCTTAATGATATGAAGGATTTTTAAAAAATATTCTGGTTACTTCTTTTTGCAAATACCTTCTTGTGGTCTGTTGCTTGTTTTTAACTTCGTAATGATGCTTTTGGTTGTATGCATGATTTGAATTTTAATATAGTCCTATTTTTTCGATCTTTTCAAGGATGAATTAACACAAATTATTTTTAGGTGTATGTGCTGGAGGAAGAAGTTATCAAAGGAAATTCTTGCCAAATGACCTTTCTTTTCTCTGTAAGGTAAAAGAAGTCAACTCTCATAGATAGCTGTAGAGTCCCTGAGCTTCCTCCTTTAGCCAACATATATAAATTGAGTCCTACAACAAATGCCTAGATCTGGGAGTTTGCCAGGGTGGGGGCAGGGAGGCAGGAGATGAGATGGGATTTCATACATTGAACCCTGCCTTACTAGAGCTTACCATTAGAGGACTAATTTGGTTAGATGGTGTAGCCTTGATATACTTCAGTAGAAACTCAGAGGAAGGAGAGATGGGGTAATATTGAGTAATTGTCTATGGACTGGATTAATCAGAGAGGATCATATGTCAGCTTTCTTGACCTCCTATAAACTAAGAATCACAGAATCTCAGGGCTCAGATAAGGAAATGGAGGCTGGCCAAAGTTAAGGTCTTCCTGCTGAAGGTCTCACAGCTAGTAAGAGGCAGAATCCACACTAGAACTACAGATCCTAGGTCCAGTGTGCTGTTTTACCTGTCAGTCAAGCAAGTTGTCATGTCTTCCTTTGGTCATAAAATAGAGATCTGAGAGCAATGCAAAAGAAAAATGGAGTAAGACAAGACAGAGCGTCAGTTACAACCAAAAAAAGCCCACCACCATTTAACCCGGGCTCACAAACTGTTAGAAGCAGCTATTATATTCACATCAACTTGTTTGTCTTATAAGGATACAAGAAATATGCTATCATTTTTTTTTAGCTGGGACAGAAAAAAGGAAAGTGACTTAACTCAGGGCACTTTACAAGTCACAGCAAAAATGAGAGTAAACAAACATGGGCTCTATGTTCAATACTTTTCTCTTCATAAGCCGTAAGACGAATGGCCACATATATCTATAGATTGTAGTCACTTTCTTGTCTCAGTTACATGAGTTTTGTTCTTCCACTGTCAGGTTAATTGGTTCTATTCACTCTGCCTGTGGAGAAAGTATCAAATTAGGCACCTAATCAGTAACACTGAAAAAAAAATAAACCAGAGATACATTGATTGCTCATAATCAAGCAATTAGTCATGTTTTTCCTATCTATGTACTTACCAGCAAACAGGAATGTAAAAATCACTTTCAACTGCCTGAAAAGAGACATGTCATTAATTAGGATTAATCAGAAATTCTCTCCACCAAGAAAATGCTTCAAAACATTAACTCCTTATATGTTACTGTAGTAATAACCTTATGAGGCAACTGATATCATATGCCCATGTGTCAGAGAAATATTATAATGCTAATTACAAGAAATCTCTAGGATATTCTCCAAAGTCAAATATAATGTTCACTGCTGTCAAAAGTTTGCTTTTGATAGCAAACTCCATGTGTCTCAAGGAGACCGAATTCTACTAGTGCCAGGCACACCTAGCCAAATATTGACGATGCAAAGAAGAACAGGATGTAATCACTGCGCCTTAGATAGGATGTCTAGAGTAGCTCCATTCTAAACCCCAATAGCCCAGGGTGTTCGTTACTAGATACAAAACACTAAAGGAGCAGAAATGGGAAACAAGGAGTTCTGTGAAAGCTGGTGAGCAGTCACCAAAGTCTCATCAGAACTGGGTCATTAAAGATATTCTTCCAAGCAGGAAAGTGGGGAAAGGCATGTGATGTAGAACAGACACTAGGGGCAAAGCAGTAATGCATGAAAGAACAGGGTAGGTTCATACGTGGAGAGTATGGTCAGTGCTCAGGCTGACAAGCAGGTTGTGGCCATATCACTAATGGCCTTATATGGTGGGCTAACAAATGGGATTTTGACAAGTAGGTGTGAGTATTCTTGGATTGGTGTTTCCAGAAGATCAATCTGGCAGCCAGGTGTGGAAGATGCATCTCAGGGAAGGATTCCCATTCTTAAGCTACTGCATCAGGCTAGGTGAGAAATGCTGACAGCTTGGTCTGCAGCACAGGGATGGAGAAGAGGGAATACATCCAAAAGACATTTAGTGAGTAGAATTAGTCAAACTACTATAAGGGAGAAAAGTGATTCCTTTAGCTGAAACTGGAAAAAAAGAATAAGAAGGGCATCAGTATCACAGAATACAAAAGAAGACAAAATCAGGCAAAAATAGAAAATTTAAAAAACTTCTTGGGACTTCCCTGGTGGCGCAGTCGTTAAGAATCCACCTGCCAATGCAGGGGATGTGGGTTCAAGCCCTGGTCCGGGAAGATCCCACATGCCGTGGAGCAACTAAGCCCGTGTGCCACAACTACTGAGCCTGTGCTCTAGAGCCCGTGAGCCACAACTACTGAAGCCCGTGTGCCTAGAGCCTGTGCTCTGCAGTAAGAGAAGCCAGAGCAATGAGAAGCCCGTGCACCACAACAAAGAGTAGCCCTTGCTCACTGCAACTAGAGAAAGCCCACATGCAGCAACGCAGACCCAAAACAGCCAAAAATAAATTAATTAAAAAAACCCCCTTATTTATAAATAGTTGATCATGCATTTTCTGCCTGCAAAGAGGCTATTTTAAGAACATATCATTTATTCCTCCTTAAAAAAAAAACTTACCTTAATGGCTTTTCTTTTTATAAAATTTGCCCTATTTGCTTTTGATGTGCCAGAGTAAATAATCACCAATTGTGCCAAAAATTTTTGGAGCATCCTTCAACAATGGAAATGCTTAATCTTTGTACCTGAGATGCTTAAGCATAAGCAAGCTCTCCTACAGCATTTTATATATATATGTATATATATATATCAGAAATCAATTAGAAACAAACACCTGCAGGAAGTGCTGAGACATTTTTCCATTAGCTTTTAACACAAGGAAAACAAGATGAGAAGGTGACATTGTTTCATGGTTTCTAAAATGGGTAGCTTCTGCAAGAGAGGCAGCATCAGAGGTGCCAAAAACAGGGGTGCCATGGAGAAAGTATGCCTTCTTCCCTACTGTGGATGCTAGGTGCCCTACCCAGATTCCCTCTTCAGGACTGAGGTGCTTGTACTCCCAGAGGGAGGGAGTGTTGGTGGCTGAGTTTACAGCTGAATTGCTCTTAGCCCCCTTCACAGGGGCAGCCCATATCTATTGGCTGATTATTCGGTTTTGGGTGGGTATAAAGCCCTGGCTCCCTTGACTTCAGGTGGGGAGCATCTCTGAAGGGCCATCCCAGCTCCAGAGCTCCTACTGGACTGGCTGAGGCCTTTGTTGCAACTGTATTGCAGCTCCTTCTTTCTCCCTCTGCCCCATCCTGCTCCTGTTACCTCTCACAGGTGATGTTCCCAAGGGTATACCCCAATAAACCTCTTGCACACAAATCTGAGTCCTTTTCCCAGGAACCCCAACCCATTACACCTACCAGGACCACAAAGAGCCCTTCGTGATCACTAATTACAGAGAATGAAGGTGTCCCTATAGAAGCATGTATGTATTAAATGTACTGGGTCTTGAACAAGATGAACCACACTTCCTACTTATGTTTCAGCTTATGTTCTAAAACTGACAACAGAGAGATGTTGTAAACAGAACACGGTGATCTAAAGGAATTTGGATATAAAGTTATTTTATTAAAAAATTATAGCAAGTACAATGTGTATATTAAAACCAAGAATAGGAGTTGAGCATAGATGAATAGCAGGCCTTCGCCACTTGGATACTATAAACCATAGCTTTTTTGGCTGTTTGTTTTTCCCTGTCTTTTCCCCAACAAATCTGTTCGGCAATGTTCCTTCACTAAGGCTCCATCACTGGGGTAGGCGGGGGAGGGAAATCGGACATCAAAAGATACCTGTGTCCCTACTGCCACCTAATGGTTCTTTGAGCATTAAGGTCTCCATTGCGTAGTTTATTTTTTCCCAACTGCTGACACTATACCAATAAATTGGCTAAATGTGACCATATCAAACTATGGACCACTAGTCTTACTGTGGCAAAACTCTGGGGCTCATTCTGGCTTCTGCAAAAAGTCATGTTAACTGTCTCCTTTTTCCTCTTTACATTTGGGAATATATATCCCCCTACTCCCCATGGTTGTTTGTTATAATATGTATCCTTTTTAAAAAAAGATTGTTTTATTATCTATCCACTGCGCAATAAAAGTGATGTGGAATGTACCAGGCTTTTCCTGCTTTTTATGCAATAAGCTTTTTCTAAGATAAATAAACAGGCAACATGAATATGGGAGGGGGGAAACACAGATAAGGAGGGTACTTTCAGGGGCTATGATGCAGATGAATTCAATTAACTGTGGGTGTAAAAGACCATCTTAAGACTACTGATGGAGGCTGTTATACAAGAAAGCCAAACAGAACCAAAAAATGAAAAATGCTCCTGTCACCACATCAGAGGGCAAGGCCCACTGCACTCTCTCTTGCATGTGGGGAAGTCAAAGTAATTTTTTCTCATGCTTTCCTTCCTGGCCTTCAAAGAGCTCCTGTGACTACTTCAACCTCCACTGCCCACATCTTCCTGCTAAGCCTTGACCCATCTGGCTTTCTGTGGCTTTTGGTTTCTGACAATCACATAAGCTTTTATAATCTCCTATATTACTTTTGAGCTTGTTAAACTACTGCTAGCTCCTAGATTTCTCCTCAGCTATCTGCTGCCTTTCCTCACCATTCCCCGCCAACATGCAAAACACCAGCCAAAACTATTCTAACTAGTCTATGAACACTTTTCTCCATCTTTTTCCTTTGAAAATTCCGAGACATAATTTTTCAACAAAAAGTTGAAAGGTTAGTACAATGAGCAAACACATGCATCCTCCACAATGACTGTTAAATATTTTGCCACGTTTTAATTCTTTCTCTCTCCATATATGTGTGTGTGTGTACATACACGCAACGAATTTAGCAAAATCTTATATAATTTTTTGGCAGAACTATTTGAAGGTTAAGTCATAGATGTAATGGCACTTCATCCCTAAATACCTGAATAGGACATTCTCCTAAGTAAGTTAAGAAAGTTTCACACCTAATAAAACTAACCATGATTCAGTATCATCAGATATCCAGTCCATACTGATATTTCCCAAAGTGTCCTCAAATTTTCTTTTATAGCTTTATTTTTCCAAACCAAAACCCAATCAAGATTTGCCCATTGCATTCAATTGTTATATCTTTTACCCCACTCTTTTTAATGACACTGACCTTGTGAAGAATTTAGGCCAGTTTTCTTATGTCCCACATTAAGGGCTGGATCTGATTCTACCCTCAGGGTCATTTTACTTGTTCCTCTACCCCTGTATTTCCTATAAACTGGAAGTTGGGTCAAAAGGCTTGATTATATTTAAGTTAAGCATCTTTGGCAAGGTTCCTTCATAGGTAACGCTGTTACTTCACGTTGCATCAAATCAAGAGGCCTCTAAAGTCAGGTTATTCTACCATTAGTGGTGCTAAGTGTGAGCACTAGGCTAAGTTGGTGACTGCTGAATTTCTTCATTGTAAGGTATATTTTCCCCTTTATAATTATTAATATGTGGAGTGATACTCTGACACTGTGAGAACATCCTCCTTTTCGCTACCTCCTTTTCCAAGATGGATTTTAGCTTCTCTTGATGACCTTTGCCTGAATTATTGGGGACTGAACAAGGTGATTTTTCCAATTCCATAATTCCATCTATGTTTATCAGCTGGCATTCATCTATAAAGAAAAAAAATCCCTTCCCCAACCCTTGATTTTGAGTATCACTCTGGACTTATGGATTTTTAAAATGTATTTAATGATGTGACAATCTATCACAGTCATTATTCTTTTTGGTGCCGTGATTGACTCATATTTAGCCAGTGGAGTCCCCTCAAGCTGGGTTATGTGAACTTTTGACTTGATCCTGTTAGTTTTGGGGCACTTCCCTGTTTTCTGGCAAGATGTTCCAGGCTCACCTTTGTACTATTGTACTTTCTGGGCCTAAGACCCAAAAGCAACCATTTCCCCCAAGAAATACTGTTTCTTTTGTGGAGAATTCTATTTAAATATCAAGATACGGGCACCCTCCACTGGGGTAACATTACTTCTAAGATATATGTGTATATATATATATTTTTTTTTCCAAAATTCAAATTTAACATCAGAGGGCTTTTCCCCAAAAAACTTCCATTTAAAATTTTTTCTTTCCTCTTATTAGAGTTTTAACTAACGAAATTTATTAATAATTCACTTTATCTAGAGTAGACATAAAATTTTAAAATTACATTACTAATAGTACTGTTAGAAATAAATCTGTGATGTTTGAGATTTCTTGTTTTTGTTCTTTCTGCCCTCAGAATACATCCCACTAAGAATGTAGGAGTACTATTAAACACCACTTTCAAATAGATCTAAAGAATTTTGATGACTCTGCCATTTCTAATCCTTGTAGAGCCTAGATTATCATTTTTCAAACTAATTCTTTTTTCTTTTTTTAGTGGTACACATGAAATATACAATAGCTGAAAATGTGCATCCTAAGACTAGAAAGGCAATGCAGATTTCAGTGAACAAATCAGGATTGCTATGACTGGTGAGCACCTGCATCGGTCAGCATTCATTTAAGGTTGTTTTTCCATCAAACTTAAGCGGATGATATAACCTAAGAGTCATCTCAGGATATATTTTCAAGGTACTGTACCCCAAAACACTCAATAGGCAGAAAAAGCCAGTCGCTTGCCCTGCAACAAATCTCCATGCAAACATTCAAAACACCTATTATGACTAAAAAGGTCAAAAGGCGTAGTTATTTTGACTATGTACACATCTCTAATTCATTACCTTAGGCATTTGTACAGATGTCAAAAAAGGTAGGCAAATCTGGGGCTACTTTTAGTCAAGAAGGAATACAATAAAAGCTAAGCTAAAGAATGCAATCTCCCATTTAACCAACATGTACTAGTTTATTCTACACTTTTATGCTCTGCAGTGAGTTGGTACATTTCCAAAGGCAGTGGCTATACTTCAATTATCTTTAGTAGTGAAAGGAAATAGCTGCATATATGACAATGTGGAGTCTTTAAATTTTATGTACTTACTGAGTTCAATAAAATAAATACCAGCTTTAAAGAACTAGAGGTTTTAGATACTGTTCTTTTTGAAGATAAACTCGATTAAATTTGAGTGAGAATATTTTAAGATTTTGACACTTCAAAGGAAGTTGTAAGTTAGAACGCCTATTTGAAGGAACACTCTTAGTCAAAGCTTGTACGTGCTCCAGCTTTGTCTTTAAAAGCACACAGAATCACAGTGAAAAATAAATGAATACATGTAGTGTTTATAATGGTGTCTGGTACACACAACTGTTATCTCTTTGTGAGAACTAATAACATTCAGTATAACTTTTCTTTCCAAATATAATCTATGTTGCACACAGGGAGAGATTAAAAGCAATCCTGAAAACAAAAGCTATCAGAAAACTATACTGAAGCTTATAAATATTTTCCTATTTTCTGACCTTGGGGGTTCATTAAGAGTTCTTATTTGAGAAATTTTTAAACAGCTGTAAAGTTTACTTTATATTCATGGAAGATCCTCCTGGCATTAGTTCTTAAAATACACAATTGAAATAAGAGTTGTCAAATACTACATTGTGTTTTTAATAGATTTCTACTATATTAAAGAAAAGTACATCCTCTCTGGTTTGTCTTCCCTCTTAATTCTAGCTACACACTGCTGCCCTCTGCAGCATTTTACATTCTTGCAAGCTGACTGCCACTCTTAATCATCACAAACCCACTTTAGAGGAGGGCTTTCTTAAGGGTCCAGCTACAGACCCCAATCCTCCAGGGAACGTTCTTTCCTGGCATTCACATAGCCTCTTCGTGTCTCAGGCCTTTATCTTTGTTTTTAACTAGTTTTTTTTAAATTGGAAAAAATTATATACGTATGGTTAAAAGGATAAAAAGGATTATTAGTGAAGACATGTGGCTTCCACTCCAAATCTCTACATAGATTCGTGAATCCGTCCATAAATGGTATATATTATTACAAACATACACACAGCACGCATTTCTTTTTAAACATAAGTGGATGTAGTCACACCACTGTTTATCATTCAAGATTGTAACTTGGAGATTGTCCCCCTTCAGGCGGTATTAACCTATATAACTTAATTAAAACCAGTAACTGCTAACAAAATAGGTTTTTCTTTTCTTTTTCACGGTACGCATGGCCTTTATTGTTTGCTACAGGAAGTGGAAGAGGCGGGGATGCGACAGCTCCGGCTCCTGGGGCGACTCCACAGATTGGGTAATCGCCCTCGAAAAGTCCAATTAATCTACTCTCGAATAGGTTCTGCCACAATCTAATCAGCTTTTTGTTGCCACTAAGACTTTTATTATTCTGTGAATCGGCGGTTCTCAAACTTTACCAGACATTGGTATCACCTACAAGGCTTGTTGAAACAGGTTGCTGAGGCCATCCTCAGAGTTTCTGACTCAAAGGTGTGAGGTGGGTGTTGAGAAACCGTATTTATAGTAAATTATTTTTGCAATAAATTACAAATTACTGTAAAAAAAATAAATACCACGCAAGGCTGATGCTACCGGGACCACACTCAGAGAACCAACCGGTAGTATGAATGCTGTATTAAACCCCGTTCCTCCCACCACCCAGCACCCTGGGAACCTCAACTGCCCAACGGCACACAGCCCTGAAGTAACTGCCCAACCGACCCCCAGTCCGAGCCGGAACTAAGATAAAACGAACCTGCATCCGGCGCCTGGCGCATACCAGTACGTCATTTCCTTCCTACGAAACCCTGCCCACTTTACTTCCCTAACGTGATTAAGGGCCGGCGGCCTAGAGGGAGCTGGGAATCACGTGAGTCGAGCGACGTCGTGCGAGGATTTTTAACCTCTCGCGAGACTTTACCCGCCTCCTCTATTCCTCCTTCCAGTGCCCGGCTTTAGTCCTCTCCCGCTCGCCGCTGACCGAGGTATTCTTTTCCAGACCAAGTCGCCTAGTTGTCGCCGCGGAGCTTTTGTTTGCTGCTGCCGCTGTCGCAACCACCACTGGGCTGCTTTGTCGCGACCCCGTCCCCCCGCCACGCCCCCAGCCCCACACAAGGTAACAAACGCGATGAGGGAGACAGTAAGGCCTCGCCGGGCTTCGGCCTCCCCCTAGTTGAAGCGGAGGCCTGAGGCCGAGGAGCGGGCCGCGCTGGAGAGGCCCGGGCGCCGGCCGGAGTGTCAGGAGCGCCGGCCTCCTCTTCCACCCAGAGTTGAGCCCTGAGCGGCCTCGGACGGGGTTGGGCTAGCCGCGGGAACCCAGCGGGTGGGGTTGGCATTTTAAGGACGCTCCGGGCCCTTCCGAGCCTGTTTGCGGGTGGGGCTCCGGCTCCGGGCGCCTCCGCTGGGTTCGTGTTTTCGGTTTCCCTGGAAGCTGTTTGAATTTCGAGGTCTGAAATGGTCGAGCAAGTTGTGGCGGACTTTGAGGTGTTGAGTGACTGAGGGGGAGCAGCCTGGCTTGCTCTAACCCTTTTGGAGTCCTTCCAGGCTGTGGTTGGACGGGGATTGTAAAACAGACGGGTCCTCGGAAACCCCGTATGTTTGCTAATAAAGCGAGAAAGAATTCTCTCCTACCTTACTTTCGGGAGAAGAATGAGCCAGATTTGGTGAAAGCCACGTTCCTTAGATTGCCTGAATAGGAGAGTATCAGTGCTGTTTCTTTCATTGCAGAAAATGCATCGTCAGTATTTGACTGGGTTTTTGCTCTGGATAAGAGTTTCTAAACGCATTCATACTAATTGAATAGCTCTTGTGGAGAGCTATTTGTGTAGTTAATCCAAAATCAGTTGGAATTGGTTTTGGAGGTATTTTTTAGTGCTTAAAAATCAGAAGCCTCAACTCTTTCAACAGTTTAGTGCCATTTTTTTTTTTTTGGTGACAATATAACAATCCTGTTAATTGAGCCTAACACAGTGCCTTCCCTGTTACAGGACTTCAAAGAAAATTAGAAGTTCTTCTTTTTTCTCTTACTTCTTGTTTTCTGTTCCTATATGGAATTTGTCTGACATGTTTATAATCATAAGAATACTTGAAGTTTGTGTTTGGCTCACAGCTTTTTTCTGAATTGAAAGTAAAGGTAGTAGTGATAAATTACGCTGCAGTGAATTATAATAATGAGTTGGGAGCAAAATTGGTTAGGGTTGATTCAGGCAGACAGGGAAAATTATTTTTTATGGTTTGGTTTTTTTTGTTCTGTTTTCATGACCTTACTCTTTTTATTTTCTTCAGATGTCAGAGGATCTAGCAAAGCAACTGGCAAGCTACAAAGCTCAACTCCAGCAAGTTGAAGCTGCGCTGTCTGGAAATGGAGAAAACGAAGATTTGCTAAAATTAAAGAAAGATTTGCAAGTAAGTATGAGGAGACACTTACAGTTACATTGCTTGAAAAGAATATTTTTGTGTTTTACAAATGATCTATTGTTAAGAATCTGTGGGTATCCAGAACACCATTTGGAGGGAGTGTTTCACCCCTTGTGCGTACAAGTGTGTACGTACATAGGCATACGTAGCTTCTAGGAGTAGGGTTGCTTCCTCAGTTTGTGTACATCAAAATGATTGAAGCATTGTTCTTTGTTAACGTCAAACTTGTATGCTCATATAATTTTAAAAAATAAGAGTTAACATTAGAAGTCATTGTCAAACTTTCTAGAGAAAGAGATACATACAATTTTACAAGGAATAGCACTTCTGTTTTTAAAGACCTGGAAAAGGAATTTTAGTTCAAAGGGTAACTAAAATTAAAGGAGGAAAATATAACCTGATTAAGATTCTTTCTAATGCCAAAAGATTCTTTGAAAATGAAATAGAGCACGCATGCCAGAGATCCTGTGTGTGTGTAACAGAGCTAGCTCTAGTGCCTTGTGTTGAAAACACATTATAAAAATACCTAAAGAGATACTTGTTTTCTGCATAAATGTTATATAATGTTTGAACTTAAAGCTAGGTTTTACATCTAGTTTTTGACACTTGTTAGCAACTTAAAATTAAACCAAATCTGTGTGAGAAGGAGATCTTAATTTGTTCTTTTTGTTGTGGAGGGGCAGTAAGTATGAAACCTGCTTTTTAAAACTTGCTCTGGGGTTTTGAGACAAACATAAAGCCATGATAGTAAATATCTGTTATTTCTCAGAACAACAGGTTGATTAATAAAAATACCATATATAATACTTGTAAATATGTATGAGTTTTCATCTTAACAAATTTGTGAACTTAAAATTCTGAACCTGAGTTTTTGGAAAGTTTTGAAAGATGATTAGATGGTCTGTGTTCACTGATTCAAAACAAAACTTGAATCATCTTCATCCTATCTAAGTAATCCTTTCCCTCCCTTTATATCATCCTCTTGCCCATTAAAATTATTAAATTTTAGGGATATTAGAACTGCAAACAAATGAAACTTACGTGAAATGGGGTCCAGATTCAGGATTCTGAAAGCGCTTACCTGGGCATAATTAAGATGAGTTAAATATTTTTGGGTTCGAATTCTGGATTTAGGATAGACTTTCATGAAGTTGCAATAGTATGTTATTTTTCTAAAAACACAGAAACCAGGGCCTCTCTTCAATACGTAGAAATCAGGCCAGTGGATTTCAAGGAGCCAGTCAATAAGAAAAAGATGTTTTGGGGGCTTCCCTGGTGGCGCAGTGGTTGAGAGTCCGCCTGCCGATGCAGGGGACGCCGGTTCGTGCCCCCGTCCGGGAAGATCCCACATGCCGCGGAGCGGCTGGGCCCGTGAGCCATGGCCGCTGAGCCTGTGCGTCCGGAGCCTGTGCTCCGCAACGGGAGAGGGCACAGCAGTGAGAGGCCCGCGTACCGCAAAAAAAAAAAAAAAAAAAAAAGAGAAAAAGATGTTTTGGGAGCAGTTTGTCCCACTCTCAGGCCAACTTTCTTCTTGCCTCAAGGAGAGAGCCTGGCATGGCCCCATCTCTCTGTCTCTCTGTCTCTCTCTCTTTTTTTTAAACCCAACTTAAAAGCAGTGCTTTTTTTCTTTGAAGAAAATAAAATGTCATGTGCTAATGTTGTATATATTGCTTCCTGGGCAGTAGGAGGGAGGGGTATATGTGGAACTGGTGGAGGGGGGAGTTGGGAGTGAAGACTGAGAACATTATTATGAGGTAATAATGTTACAGAGTAAATTGTCAGAGCCTGGGCAGAATTGTCTTATTAGGACATGATCCATAGTGGAAATACTATTGGGAGAGAGACCATTGTAGTAGGCATTGTAGTAACCAGGTAAATGGCTTACCTAGGGTTCAGTTAATAATGACCTGGGGGCCATTTATCTGTAAAATGTCCTGTTTTCTGTAACCATTTTGAAAAGCATTGTCCAATAGAAGTTTCTGTGGTGATGGAGATGTTCTGTATCTGCTGTGTAATATTATAGCCACTACCCACATGTGGCTGTTGAATATTTGGAATAAGACTAGGATGGCCAAAGAGCTGAATTTTTAATTTTATTTAAGTAGCCATATGTGGCTACCATATCAGATGGCACAGATTTAGAAGCATAAGTTCTAACACTTCAGTTAGAAATAATAGGGAATGTTTTTCCTGACCAGTCTTGACTTTGGATTCTTTTCCTCTTATTCTGTCATGGAAAAAAAAATCATTTTGGTTACTAGAAATAGGTCTGTTTTGAATTGAAAACTTCTCAAAGGTGGAAGGCATCATTTAGGATTACATAAAATTCTGGAAAGTTTTGTGCTGTCTGCTTCCATCTAGTAATTGTTATCTCCATTGACTACAGCTACAGCTTCTATTTTGTCATAGGTTTTTTGTTTTTGTTTTTGCGGTACGCGGGCCTCTCACTGTTGTGGCCTCTCCCCTTGTGGAGCACAGGCCCCAGACGCGCAGGCTCAGCGGCCATGGCTCACGGGCCCAGCCGCTCCGCGGCATGTGGGATCTTCCCGGACCAGGGCACGAACCCGCGTCCCCTGCATCGGCAGGCGGACTCTCAACCACTGCGCCACCAGGGAAGCCCAGGTTTTTTGTGTGTGTGTTTGTTTTCTTTTTAAATCCTTTTCCTTCTCTGCATTCTGGGATATACCTTGTGCCATTGATATTTAATCCTGCCTTTTATATTTGCTGAAGAATCTGTTCAGACTGATGACTTGAGTTTGTGGCCTCCTTTATTTTCTTGTGTTCCTTTTATGGAATATCCTTACTCTGGTTAAAAATTTGTTTGCCCTTACATTTATGCAAAATGTTCTTTCTGCATTTTTTTCAGTGACCCTCATTTGCCAGTAAGGCTTCTATGTTTATTTCTTTATGTACTATCTTTCATATAAAGTTACTCAACAGGCAGCAGATTAATTTACTAAAGTCCTAATTGCCTTTCTTTTTTCACTTAAAAGAAGTGGGTTTAGTAAAATCCAGGCTAGCTAGTTGGCTAGCTCCCCAGGCAGTCTCTGATAATCACAAAAAAGAGTCAATTTATTAGGCTGTTTGCTGAATACACTGGTTCTAAAGGAGGCAGGGGTCAAGTCACTTGTCTCATATGTTACAGTGGCTCTGCATCCCCGAAACGCCTTCCTTCAGTAAGCAGAGTGCTTGAGTGCACCCCCTTTGACCTGCTGATATGTAGATCACAACATCTGATGCTTCCTGGGATTGCCGATTACTGTAACTGCTGCCCATCTGTCAATGAAGGAGCAGTTTCAGAACTCAGACTTGGGGGAGGAAAAGTAATTAATGGTATGTACCTTTAAGAACTCCCTCATACATAAAATAGTTTCTCTAATACTTTGGTCCATATACACATGTGAAGAAAAAAAAAACCATTTAGAAGGGTCTTTATAGTTGTTGGGAGGGGTATGTAAAACATGGCAAAGTAAAAAGACAACTAGAGATAAATGCTCCAGATTTTTTAAAGTGTCATTTCAGTGCAGGACTCTGGAAATTATAACATGCACAGCTTTTCAGGACCCTTTTCTTTGGTGAAAATGTATTTCCTTATGAAAATGTAGTGGGGAGATGTTTTATCCCAAGACAAGTAGAGTTCTAAATCTTGAGACCTACAAACACAGACTTTATGTTTGTGCTTTAGTAGTTAAATGATCCCTAGTTAAATGGAATTATTTAATGATAGGGATTGTATGGGCTCTTGAGTCAGGCTTATTGGATTACATTCTTGGCCCTAAAAGTGGTTAATTAAAAACAAGACTGGATAATTTACTCTCCTTCTTTGTGTAGTACATGATCTGTTTATTTGGAAGTTCTTTGCTTATTTGCAAAAGTTATTTGCAAAAGATTGTCTTATTAAAAAGTATTTGAATGGATATTTGGCACCTAATAAAACTTTCATTAAAGATGTTAATCTACTGAATTTTTAACTTAAATCTGAGTCTTCTAGTTTTTTCATTCATAAAATTTTTTAATTAATAAAACTGATCTTTCTCCAAGGGCTTTAATAATCCTTTTTTTTAAGGCTCAAATATAAGTTTTTAAGAAATAGCCAGGAAGATTTAAAATCTTTAGGAGAGAAGTAACATTAAACTTTCTTGTCTGTTGAACCAGAGCTACTATTATAAAACCTCAATGGGAACCAGAAGAAACTCAATACAGAGTGCAACTTTGCTAATTTTTCTCCCAGAACATAATAATGTGATGTTTAAGGTATTTTATTTGCAACAGCAGAGGAACAGGTATGCAAGTTCTTAAAATAAATCAGATAAGGTGATGCATCATATGAGTCTTCATCAGAGTAAAAATATAGCAGATTGATAGCAGAATCTATCAATTTGTTCTATTTCTTAAGTTTTTTAACCAGCCCTACTAAACACCTTTAAAGTCAGTAAGTGTAAGCCTGAGTTAGAAAATATATTTGCCACACAGAAAGGTTTTGCCTACCTGTGTGTGTTACATTTATTTTATTTTTTTCTTTTAAACGAAGCTGTGCTAATGTGCTTAACATTAAGGTATTGGGATATTTTAAATCTGACTTGGTAATTTGCTTACCCAAATGGGATAGGTTTTATAATAAATGAATAGAGACACTACTGTTTTTAAAATATATCTACAGTACTTTGGTAGAAATATGTATGAGCAGGAACATTTTTATTACTAATAAGGCTGCTTCAAGTGTTTGGGGGTTTTTGAGGGGGAGCTCACCTGTTGGCAGGCAGTTAATACGACTGCCAAGCAGTGCCCTGTAAAAAGTGCAGTTGCGCGACGTACACGTGACAGTGATGTGAGAGAAAAGTGATCTTGAATCTAGGTCAGTGTCTTACAGTTAACTGTTTCTCATCTTTAGAGAGGTCTATTCAGCTAAAATAGGTGCTTAAAAATAATTTACAGTGTAAATTCAAGTCTACCCTATTTCTGTTAGTATTTGAGGTTAATTAAATTGAAAGGCAACTGCCTGGGTTTAAATCCCAGCACCAGTGTATAAAATACTGTATCTCAGTTTCTACATGGGGATAATCACAGTATCTACATCATAGTATTGTTATGAACTGCAAATAAATCTGTGTAGAGTACTTAATGAGTGCTGTGTGGTATGAGAGCTGTTATCAAAAACTGAAAGAACTTGCTTGTTGAAAGTAGTTGACAATGTGAATTATAAAAATAATGTTAATGGTTTTTGTTTTTTCTTTTTAGGAAGTTATAGAACTAACCAAAGACCTTCTGTCAACTCAACCTTCTGAAACGCTGGCAAGTTCAGACAATTTTGCTTCTACTCAGCCCACTCATTCATGGAAAGTAGGAGACAAGTGTATGGCAATCTGGAGTGAAGATGGACAGTAAGTGTAGAAAAAAACTGTAACTATAACATGACATAGTAAAGTACAATGGTAAGGTGATTTTAATCAGCTTGAACTACCCTATTTTAATCTTTCTATAATAGCCAGTATAACTTATAGAACGAATTTGATTCTTGGGTGGTTACCATTAATACAGTTTAATTTTTAGCTTTAGGTTAAGTTTTAGGGCAGAAGAATGGCTTGGATCCTAGAGGAAATAAACATGAAAGTAGAGGAAAATGAATGGATATTAAAAAATATATAGTCTAAATTCTTTTTTCCTTGAATTGAAAATTGAGTAATGGTTGGTTATCTTAGACTTTTGTGAAGCACATATACTGAAATTATTCCTGTAAGAAGTATCTTTTCTCAAAAGAGATTGACTAAAGCACATATAGTAGACATGTAAGAGACTTCCTTGGCAATATTTTGGTTAGGACTTCCTTTTTAAAAAGCAGATGGCTAACTCCAGCCACTATTATCTTTGCCAAAGGGACATTTGATTATAGGAGTTTCATTTTAGACACATTGAATAGTTGAATCACTGCAGTATAAGTCTTGTAGGCTGAGTGCTAAACCTTTACTCACCTGCTTACAGCCATGATATCTTTACAGGTGTTATGAAGCGGAGATTGAGGAGATAGATGAAGAAAACGGCACCGCTGCAATCACTTTTGCTGGCTATGGCAATGCTGAAGTGACTCCACTGTTGAACCTCAAGCCTGTAGAAGAAGGAAGGAAGGCAAAGGAGGACAGTGGCAACAAACCCATGTCAAAGTAAGTGACTTTGACTTAAGCATTTTAAATGTAATCTTCCCCATTTGGGTACTTGAGATGTCTGCAGAATCTATACAGGCTAGACTAGAGTAAGAAACTTGTAATACTGTTTACCATTATTTTGAAGATTAGCAGTGTATGGTCAACATTGTCTATATATGTATGCCTAGGTAAAGTGAAGACATTTTGGTTCCCACTTAGGCATTTAATGAATAATTATTAAGAGGATTCTATATATTGATACTTCTCACTAAACCAGGTTCTGGGTTCCATCACAGCAAAGAAGACCAAATTAGGCCTTGTCTTGACTGAGTTTATAGTCTAAAGAACAAACACATAATTAAAGAAGAACTTTAACAATAAAGTGTAAAAGTAATGGAGTGAACATAATGGGTACTTTTAGGGAACAAAGAAAAGGTACCTAAACTGCATTTTAGTCATCAGGGCAAATTTCTTTGAGGAAATGATGTGTAAACTGAGATTTGAAAAGAAGAGGTGTTAGCCAGTTAATGAACTAGAAGGTATGATCTTGGGCAAGCTGCTTAACTTCTGTTTCCTCATCTGTGAAACAGGGACAATAGTATATGCGTTATGGGGTTGTAAGGATTAAATGACAGCATGAGTAAAACATGTAGCACAGTTCTTGACATGTAGTAAGATCTCACTCAGTAAATGTTTACATTTAAAGAAGAAAACAAGGTGGGAACATAGAGGTAACAGAAAGAAATTCCTTTGGTAAAAACTTGGGGCTCGAGGGTGGGTGGTTTGACAAGAGAGGAGATTAGAGAGGCAGAGGCCAGATCATAAAAAGCTTGAAAGCCACGGATGCATTTCAAGTAGAGAGGATCTGATGTGTTCAGATTGGAGCTTTCGAATGATTACTGGCAGCAGAGAGAAGGCAGCTACTGCTGTCATCCAGGTGTAAGATGATCGTGGACCTGAGCCCAGGGAGTAGCAGTTAAGGATGGACCCGTGTATAGTTTGAGAGGTATTTAAGAGATAGAACGAACAATTTTCAGTTCTGCATATTTGCCACAATTGGCTATCTTTTGGATTTGTCAGGAGTTTTCAAAACTTAAGTTGCTACATAAATATATTTGAATTTGGGAAAATTGTATCATCTATTAAAATAAATTTGGTTTAAGCATCTCAATAAGAAAGATTGTAGAATAACATGACATTTCTATTTTTAGTCTTTGATATTTGTGTAAAAACCACACTTCATAGTAGTGATTTTATGATACAGAGGAGTCTAGATCATATAGCCTTGTTTTTAAAAACCTCTTTCTTCATCCTTCTTTTGGTGAGAAGTCAGTGTTAACAGACTGAGCCGAAATTATTGAGAGGGCTTTAGGCTCTGATTGGAAAACCCTAGTTGTTTTCGTTTTAAGAATTGTTAGCTATGATTTCCCTTTGTACTGCTGTGCTCTTCCAATCTACATGAAATAGTTTTATCTGCATTGAATCTCTTCATACAGTTTTTCCAAATGCAGCATATCACACTTGCTAACTGCCCATTTAACAATTGATACAGGTTTAGATAGCTTTTAATGTTGAAACTCCTCCTATTCCTAAAACACAACTGGCAAAAGCCATGTAAATGGCAAATTAAAAGTCATAGTTGAAATGTTTGATTAAATGGGTAATAGATTACTACACTTGCATTCAAAAGCTTCCAAGGATACTGTATATTTCAAATAACATTTATTTCTTAGTAGTCCTGAGTGATCGGCATTGATGTTAGCTTTTATTCGTGGGGTGAAGAATGTGTAAGTTCATTAGGTTTTGGGTTTTTTTTGGGGGGGGGCAGTGGTTGCACTGCTAAATATCTCTAAGGAAGTCATCTTTTAAATTTTAAGAGTTGACATTTACCTGTTCTGTCCACACAGAAAAGAAATGATTGCCCAGCAGCGTGAATATAAAAAGAAGAAAGCTTTGAAAAAAGCACAGAGAATAAAAGAACTTGAACAAGAAAGAGAGGACCAGAAGGTGAAATGGCAGCAGTTCAACAACAGAGCCTATTCTAAAAACAAAAAAGGCCAGGTTAGTAAATCCTTTCATCATACTTTGTAAATTTGCAAAGTGCAACTGTCATTAAAATAAAGCGAACACAAAATAACTTTAAAATGAAAAAGGAGGTTCATAGATTTAACGAAATAGTAACTGGATCTTGAATTCAGAATCTCTTTAATCTTCATTTTTGACTTACTGAAAAATATCTCCATTAGCCACTGTCTCTGCAGTGGAAGCACTATGAATGAGTTTATACCAGGAATTACAAAAGATCTAGGTTATTTCCTTTTATTTTATTTTAATTTTTTTAAAATAAATTTATTTATTTAAGTTATTTATTTTTGGATGTGTTGGTTCTTCATCGCTGCACACGGGCTTTCTCTAGTTACCGTGAATGGGGGCAGGCTTCTCACTGCAGTGGTTTCTCTTGTTGCAGAGCACGGGCTCTAGGCGCGCGGGCTTCAGTAGTTGTGGTGCATGGGCTTAGTTGCTCCACGGCATGTAGGATCCTCCCAGACCAGGGCATGAACCCGTGTCCCCTGCACTGGCAGGCGGATTCCCAGCCACTGCGCCACCAGGGAAATCCCTGATTTCCTTTTATAAACTAAAATTTGAAAACTTATTTGTTATCTTACATACTGCTTAGAGTGTATTGAACCCTACCTGATTTGTTAACATGCCTTATGTTGGGTGTCACTAGTGGGTTTTATGAGCACTCAGGTTCCCTTGAGGTACTTTTCCTTATAGGTGTATTTTGGAATTTTATTTTTTTCCAAAACTAATCAAGAATTGTTTGTTTCATTTCTCCTAGGTAAAGAGGAGTATTTTTGCTTCACCTGAGAGTGTAACTGGCAAAGTTGGAGTAGGAACTTGTGGAATTGCTGATAAACCTATGACACAGTATCAAGATACCTCTAAATACAATGTTAGGCATTTGATGCCTCAATAATCAGAAAAACTGTTGGATTTCATCTCTGCAGGGCTTTACATTTACCTTTTTATCCTTATATTTTTCTAAAGGTAAATTATTTGTTAGACGAGTAAGGAAGATACCATTGTTGTCATTGTTTGACTTCAGTAGAATGAAACTTGAAGAAATTGTATTTGATAACTGCTATTCATTTAAACTTTTTTCATTACTACTACCAGTTTCCTCAAAGTTTGTTGGGTAAAGCAACTTTTCTAGATAGATGCTGAGTAAATACAGCACTTAGGTTAATTATTGATCTTCCTAGTATCAGGCCCCCACTTAATGGATGGCATATACGTTTTGTAAGGTTCTAACTGGGAAGTTTCAGATGCTTTGAACTTGCCGCATATTCTAGCAATTCACTGGAACATCAAGGCAAAATACCAACCTGCTAAAGAGAACTCCTCTTCATTTTTTTTTTTTTTTGTCTTCAGCTTAAACCTGGCTGTTGCCCAGTTAACCTAAAAGTAGGTTAATTTGTAAATGGCAGAGTTTTTTTTGAGGTTTTTCTCAACTCGTTTCCTAAGCCTATTAGGCCATCTCTAAAATTGATCCAGCTCTGTATTCTTTTCATTGAATTTTAGTTTTATGTAAGAAACCATGTTTAGGACCAGCTACCTTTTCTAATGTTTTTTTTGTTTTTGTACGTTTGCTTTCCTCCTGTGTTGATTTTCACTTATGGTAGTGGTACCATTTTTTGGATGTGTAATGTTTATATGAGAAAACAAAAAGCTGATGTATAGCCCTGTATACAATGTAGATACTATTTTTGTAAAAAACCGAGGCTAAATTAATGAACAAGAGTACCGAATGTTTCATCATTAAAAATTTACTGTATTTCTTGTGCATTAATCTGACCATAATTTCCCTGTATATTATGTTCACGTAGCTGAGTTTGTTATTTTTGTTAACTAGATCAAGTTGTCAGCATTTGTTGGCAAGTGAGCTTCACAATTATCCTGAGTTGAGTTTAAGCCAAATGTATGCGTAGAAAAGGGTCTTCCTATTAATGGAAGATGGTGATTTTTAAGAAGTGTGTTAATTTCAGTTTTTGTATGTTTAACTTTTATTAAATAAAGTGTTTTTAAAATCTCCAGGGTGTGTTAACAGAAAGGTGAAGTTAGCTGCCAGCATTGATATAATGGTTAAGCATACATCATTTCCACAGGAAAGAATATTGAGTGTGTAATAAATGTTTCGATAAATCCTTATGTGTGCCTTATATTGGACATAAGAAATTGGAAAGGACAGACTAGTTTTATTTTAAGGGTTGTGCTTGCATAGGGGTGTTTGTAAATTTTTGGTAGAAGGGGAAAATAATTTTTATTTCATTAAGAAAAAAAATTTTTTATTTCATGAATTTTAATTTTTTTGGTAAATTGAAGCTTTTTAAAAAATGTTTTTGGCCACGCAGCACGGCATGTGGGATCTTAGTTCCTGGACCAGGGATCAAACCCGTGCCGCCTGCAGTGGAAGCTCAGAGTCTTAACCACTGGACCGCCAGGGAAGTCTGGTAAATTGAAACTTCCAGGAGGACAGTGATGAGAGAGAATTCCTTGTGTCTCCATCTCCCTCCCAACTCAGGAGATCACTGTTGTTTTGTTTTTTTTTGTTTCTCTCCCTGTAACTTATGGCCAAAGGGTAGAGCACATAGGACAGAATGAAAGGTGAAGTAGTTTTTCAATACAAGGCACAAATTACAGTAGAAAAGGAGCTACTTAGCCCGAAAAACTTCTAAATATACTAATGTTCTTGTTACCAGTATAACAAACTTTAAATCAATGGTATCCTTAAAGGATTGCAAGGGAACCCTAGTAATTAAAAAGCACTGGAAGGAAATTTGGTATAACTCTGTGGCCATACAAAGTGGTTTTTGGTGAGATTATCTTGGTATGTTTGCTGGAGTAATAGTTCACCTGGTGTTTGTGTAGGCAAGACTTGTGTTGAGACTCGTGCCTCCTTTGACTCTATGGGCCTTCCTTTCCGCACATTAATTTTCCTGGAGGGCTTTGCAGTAGGAGGAGAGAAAAGGGGGAAAAAAAAGTGACCGTGTTGTAGAAAACATTTTTTAACAAATAGGCATATAGCATGAAGTCAAGAGCCTGTGTGTCGAAGACCTAGATGTCCTTTGTAAAGTCCTGTTGTCAGGATGATGATAGTGTCTCTGGACTAAACTTAAAAATTAGGAATCCTGGGGGGACCTGTCTCATAGTGGATGCTGAAGTTGAGGAAATCTTAATGAGGAGCATGATACCAATGGTATTTTACAAATGCAGGTGGTTAAGCTCTCAATATTCTAAAATCAAATATGATGCTTGGTCTATGAAGGTTTGTTATAAAATTTAATGTAGAGGTTACCCTCTTGTCAAGAAAGGAGACATGAAGCTCTGAAATGGACAGACTGAACCATACTTGATGTCCCCCACGTGGCTGTGGTTGCATTTGTCTTTTCTCAAAACTTGACATTTGACTTTGTTATTGGCTCTTTCAAGGAAAGTACAGTCCTAACACCCCCAAAACAATTTTAAATTTTAATATTAACTACAGATAACAGTGTTTTAATTAACATGTAGAAAAGTCATATTGGAAGAGCAAGGACTCTGGAGCCAGACTGCTGTGTTTGAATCCTGGCTCCCTCATTTATTATTTGTATGCATAATTCTCTGCCTCAGTTTTCTCAGCTGTAGAATTAAATTAATACGTTTCATTAGGTTGTAAGGATGAGTGAGTTAATATGTGTGAAGTGTTTAGTAGAGTACCTGATATGTTGTAAGCACTATAGATAGAAGTGTTTGCTACTACTGTGCAGAGCTAATGATGACTATCTGATCTTTTTTCCTTAACTTGAATAACAATTCACATTATAATGGAAATAATACTATTGCTTATAAATGTGTTACTGAAATGTTACCAAATTACCAAAGTTCTAAGACATTAAGTTATCCTGGTAGAAGTTTAAATTTTTGTATTTAGGGTTTGTTTCTTAGTGGGAAGGGGATTACACTCCTAATAAAAAAATCACTTTTTTTTAAATTTAATTTTTATTTTTGGCTGCGTTGGGTCTTGGTTGCTGCGTGGGGGCTACTCTTCGTTGCGGTGCACGGGCTTATTGCGGTGGCTTCTCTTGTTGTGGAGCACGGGCTCTAGGCGCGTGGGCTTCAGTAGTTGTGGCACATGGGCTCAGTAGTTGTGGCTCGCGGGCTCTAGAGTGCAGGCTCGGTGGTTGTGGTGCATGGACTTAGCTGCTCCGCGGCACGTGGGATCTGCCCGGACCAGGGATCGAACCCGTGTCCCCTGCACCGGCAGGTTGGATTCTCAACCACTGTGCCACCAGGGAAGCCCCACTCGTAATTCTTGATTAAGATTAATGAGGGATTCTTGGATCTGGGTCCTACCTCAGGCCTATCCAGGCCAAGGTATGTCTTGTTTTTTTGACAGACACCACACAGGTGGTTCTGATGTGCATCCCTGGCTGAGCACCATGTTTTAGGTTAAATGTGAAAACGGTTGGATTTTTGAAATGAAGGCAAAAATTTATAAGTGGCAATTTTCTGAGCCCAATTATGAAGACTTAGGCATCAAGCCAAAGTGAAAATGCATCCATTTAATGTAACAACTCATTTTTTAAAATACTTGTTTTTTCACAACAAAGGATGTGCATGTGCGTGCACGTGTGTGTTTCCATTACAATGCAGTTTTAATGCTCTGTCTGCCTTTAAAATAGCAAGGGAAAACCATGAAGTGACAAAGGAAACTCAGTTTTGTAAGTTGTGTGGTGTCTGTAGATTGTGATTATATAAGGTGAAAAATACCACTTGCAAATTAAGTGAAGTATTAGAGTTTTGATTTGGCTTTTTGCCTCAACTGGGTATTAACTGAGATATAAAAGAAGGAAGAAAATGTATTAAACCCAACAAGGTTTTGTATTTGTTAAAATATTTAGAGAGTTCAATAAACATGTGCTGAATTGTATTAAGTATTTGTATTAAACTATGAAACAACCAGTTAGTATAAATGGTAATTTACAAGTTCAACAGTAAATGTAAACATTCTTTGTATCTAGGATTTTTGAGTTGCAAGTTAAACTGAATTTTTACTGCAGTGGAGAGGAAAAGCATAGCAGGTAAAATAACAGGTAATGCCATAGTTTAAACAAAACCAAAGCTATTGATTCCCCTTATACTATGATTTTTTTAAAAAAAGCGTACCTGTAGAGATGGGTATAGACGTATTCTTAAGAAACATCTCAAGAGGTTCAGAAACCCGTAATACTTTGTTCTGGCCTAGCCAAAAGTAGTAAAACAAACAAAAACAGATGAAGGTGTTATTCTGTGACGGTCCTCGCTTGCCTTTTCTGCCATTCAGCTTAAGTATATAAAGGTTCTTTTGTGGCCTTGAGTGGGGAAAAGCAGATCTGAGAATAATGCTGGGCTTGGGTTAGCTGACAGCTGAACTAACTAAAAATATCAAATTATGGCTACTTGTCATCTTTTAGTTCCCAGAAATAAAAACTGGCAATTTACTTCCACCAAGCACCTTACCAGTTCATTTTTACAAAACCAGTACAGACTTGTTACTGAAATTATTAAAATTGTAACTTGTTTCCCCAGTTAGTTTTATTTAAGAGCACAGCTAAAGAAGCTATGGTTATTCTCATTGGGAGAAAAGGTTTGTTTTTTTGTGTGAAGAGCTACTTCACACAAAAATCATGGTTATTATTTTGCTGGCTCGTGATTTTCCTTTCTTGGTGAAACTGATGTGCTTTTGTTTTTTCTCCTTTCAAGCCCTGTACTCACTTTAGCAAGATGCAGTGAGTTTCTGACCAGAGAAACAAAGAATTCAGGCTTGGAGGAAACACTTGACTCTACATCCTGGGAAAACTAGAGTTGAAGCCTGAGATCCGTAGCTAGGCTAGTCTTTAATAGATGGTAATTGTCCCAATTGTTAATTGCTCAGAAGTATGCAGGAAGGAGGAGTAAGTATCCCTTTGGTTCTTTTGCTCAGATTTTTTCCCTCCAAAAGCCCTGTCAGGTTTAGTTGACCTAGCTTTCAGAGTGAGTGTGATGAAGCTGCTAATTTAGAAACAACTGACTTCTTAAATTTTTATTTCTTACATACATTTTAGAGATATTTTATGGCTTTTATGTTTTTACAATGCTATTCTGTACCCTGGTGTGAAAATCTAAAATATCCCAGTTATTGTCCTACTAGTAAAGAGTAAAAGCATTTTTCCATAGCTAAGAGTTTGAAAAAATAGAAAATATTCCAAAATTATAGGAAGTTGGCAGTACTTTAGAAGAGCTTCATTTAAGCCATTTCCCCTAATAATTACTATATAGAAAGGTAAACAACTGAAGCTGTCAGCCAGTACATCTATTTTGAACTACACTTATTATTTCCAAGAATCAGATGTATTCCAAAAGAAAACGAGTTTCCTGTTGGATCTGGTACCTAGGCCAATAAGATTTTTCTTCATGGTGAGGTCAGCACTAAAATATTAACTAGGACACTCAATTTATTATGCAATGGTTACTATCAGTGTATAACATACTCAAGCTCAGGCCCTTTCCTTTTTTTAGGAAGACCAGGTAATCACTAAAACCAATGATACATAAATCTTATAAAGGCTTTATTTAAAAATTTCTATAGGATGTCAAAATTTACTTCTTACAATGTATAACCTGCCACAGAATTTTGTGAAAATGAACCATTTTATTAATAGTTTTATTCTGCAAGACCCAGAGTCAGAATAACTAAAATTCAAGATTAAGGATGAAGAGATTAGAAGGCTGCATTCATCAGAGGAAGTAGAGAAGTATAACACCTGTTAATTTCCTTCTGGCACTACATGCTCCTGGGCTGTGGTGGTGGCATGGATCCACATGTGTCCGCTTTTGTAATTCTTTTTTTTTTTCTTTTTTTATTCAAACAGAAAGTCAAAAATTATTATCATCCTCATCAGTTCACTCAGTCTACATATATCAGTTTTAATCCTTAACAGTCTTTCAAAATAGAGGTAGTATTTCTATCAACTTTCCAGGAGGAAACAAGTCTCCATGAAGAAATTTAGTATCTTGCCCAGGGTCCTTAGCGAATGTTAGAACTGCTATTTCAATGTAATCAAAATGCTTGTTCTTCCCCTATTATGCTCTTTTTGGAAGGGAGTGTGGAATTTTTGAGGTGGAAGGATAATAAAAGAAAAAGGGCAGCTAGTTGCTTCTTCAAGTGGAAGAAAACAAACCCTCAAAAAACCCTTCCCCGAAAGGGTAGACCATTTCCTTGTGAGAAATGACCGGGGATGCAGTGTGGCTTTAGGTTAGAAGCCTTGCCTGAACAATCCTCATTGCCTTTTAAAATCCCTTCATAATGCTAAAAACTGTCATTGTTACGGCCCTAGAAAAGGCATTTCTGCTGGAGTTTCTCATACCTATTCTAATCAGAAACTAGAGTCGTAATGACTTCATCACAATCTTCTTTGGTAATATGCACAGAAATAGGATTTACCTGTACCTATTAATTCACCACTCAGACATTTTACATAGGGGGCAGTGTTAACTCAGGTTAGTAAGGACTAAATGGGAACTTACAGATTGGTTTTCAATTTGAATAATAGTAGAGTCAAAGGGATTCCCTAAAAAGTTATTTGGAGAACAGATAATTAGAATGACAAATGGCTTTGTGTCCTACCTGAAGAAATTAAGATTATTGGGTACATTAAACCATCTGCAGTTAGGTTATGTGGAATTATCAGTCAAGAAGGCACCTGTTGTAAATTACTGAACAGGAGATGGCAATGATTAAACTGCCATTAATTGAGACCACTGAAGTGGTATAAACAGACATTTAAGGAGATAGTTGCCTCAAGATATGGATGCTCATTCATATTTTTTCCTTCATAGCAAAGGGCGGTACAAAAAGCACTCGTGTGTTCTTCATTCACAATTTTTATTTCTTGCAGTTAACTTTTTGTATCTTCAAAGTCCATTTGTCTTTAAAAAAAATTAATACTTATTCATCATACAATCCATCCCCCTCCCCCAAGGAAAACAAATTCAGGGAAGGAGTAATTTAGGGGGCAGTTGAAATAGGTACTATAGGTTCGTGACAAAGGCTTCCCAGCCCACCATCCTGTACATATACAACAAAATTGCAGCACCTCAAGTTCACCTAAATGAAGTCCCAAATTCCAGCCCTCGGCAAGTGATGCAAGTGAATGCCATGGGAATTACAAAATGGAAGCCCTGTCACTGGCTTCCATTTATTTTCCATGGTAGTTAGCAGAGTCTTCAAACTGTCTCCTTTGGGAAAGTCAAAACAACATTTTGACCTGGCCAGGAGTAATTATAAATGAAACCAGAAATAATTTACCTGGGCCACAGAAATGAATTTCTTTTATCATGTTTTTCATTAAGTCCCCAGCACCTGAAGTAGCAAGTTCTAATAATGGGCTTCTAAAGGCATGCAGTTTTTCACACATCTACTTCAAAGAATTTCTTCCACTCAAACATACCACAGTCAAGGACAATATTTTTGGAGGCACGGGAAGAGCACAAGAACAAGTAAGTGTATGATGAGGCCTTGTGTATGACCAAGATGGTTCACTTCATATATAGAAGCAGTGAGAGCTGTTAAAAGTGCTACTTACAAAGGATGGTCTAACATTACACACACAACTGCACTGCTAAATATGGTTGTCTTTATTTTCTTTTTCCTTGCCCAGCCCTATCTAAACAAAATAAAACTACAGGACTGAAATTAACCCATTAAAATCAGCAATAAGTTATGAAAATCATAAAGCTTTTTTTTTTCTTTTTTAAGTAATTAAGGGTAGTTAAATTATTTAAAGTATACAAAGTCCAAAGAGCCAGGGTAAGGTCTCCAAGGCTTCCTGGGGTAAGGGAGAGGGCCAGGGGAGAACCTGGGAGTTTGAAAGACAAAAAGGGAACACGTGACATCAAAGTGCAGGCTAGAATTTCACTTAAAATAACATTTCTGAAAATATTGACAAGAGCAACAATAGCACCTGCACAATGGGATT